TTATAACAAAAGCAACACATAGCGCCTCTCCAAGACAACAGAAACAATACAAAGATCAAAGATATCAAAAGCAAGGTGGAGTGCTAATATTGTTCCTCTGTCAACAAATATAAGATTGTTTAGATCACTACCTAATACTATGTTATAATATTAGACCATATATATAGATAGTTGGGCCTGTCCGATAGCCTTGTTGGCTTACTCCTCGCATGTTGTATTGTGAGGACCTGCCGATGGATATACTTTGTTAGGTTTTGCATTCATAAACAAATTCTGGACACACAAAGACAAATCATGAACCAAGCGGCTTAATTCAATACAAATTAAGAGACTCTCATAATGTAACCATATGAATACATTTTTAGATGACAAACAACAAACCATGGCAATAAAATAGTAAGCAACGACCATATGGCAGGGAATAGCAACAATCATTCCTTGTACCAAGTCATGGAAGCATAAATTGAGAAATGTGTATGCTACCATATTGATCAATCAAGATCGTCTCTCCGGCCGAATTGGCAAAGAAAAACATAGATTTTTGCTGGTAAGTGAACCTATTCTGGCTAGCCATGTCTGGGTCTGTTGCTATTCTGTCAAAGCTAATTGGAAGTTGCATTTTTCAATTTTAGTTCTAATGTATCCATCTGATTTATGTTATAAGAATTTCCCTCTCAATTCCTGTGTTTTTATTTTATATTTGGCATTGTGCTTACTAACATGACATACTCGGTCACGAATCTTGTTTATAAGCACTGGTCGGCCTAAAAAGAGAAGCATCAAAAGCAAACATGAGAAAAGTAAATGCGTGTAAACTGCAAGAGGCCATGATACAACTACTTTAATAGTGTTGTAATCATCTTAGACCCAAGCCAATATTTCTAAATGTATAAACAAAGAGATACAGAGTTGCGACAGAAGAAATGGTAGGTAAGTAATTTGATGATGCCAAAATAACATTGATAAATATGTGACTCGCTATCAATCTCACATGGTTCACCAAGAATCAATCAAACCGAGGACCAACATGGGAGGTAAAGTCATACATGTCTTCCACTCTAACAGGGCAAATAAATTGGCTCATGTGTACCAGTCGAACATGCCTCAAGTGCCAGCACCTGCTCCTCGTTGTCATTGATCTGGGAGGTAAAGTCATACATGTCTTCCACTCTAACAGGGCAAATAAATTGGCTCATGTGTACCAGTCGAACATGCCTCAAGTGCCAGCACCTGCTCCTCGTTGTCATTGATCTCCACAAAAGTTAGTAAATAATCTATGTATACAAAAGGCAAGCAGGTGTACGTAAGTCAGTATTCACTTTCATGACATACAATTTTTTTGATCGCACAGAAGACACTAACTAATCAAGCTAGTGTTCCTAAAGCAGAAAAATAACTATTCATCCACTCCCCGCCAAAAAAGAAGATAACTATGCATCCATTGAACAGTTAGTGGAGAAAAGCAAGTAAAGATCTTGTGCACACTAATCTATACCTTCTATATGCCACTTCTACCACTATGGAAATGAACAGACCCCCACAATATATAAAAGAACGCACATCATAAGTTGGACGAATAGTAGTATTGTCAATATTTCCATAAGAACATTATACAAAGAAAACAGAGCATATCATGGTAATTTGAAATATGTACTCAAAGTCGAAAACATATGCCTGACTATTTCTCGTGAAGTGTTGTATAAACTGCACATATAATTTATATTACGGTGGTATCACACTAATGGCTGATTTGTACCCACCAATGATAACAACATAATGCAATCATGCATATGGTTCTTGTCCCGTGAGGAGTTCCCACAGAACAATCCCAAAGGAGAAGACATCAACCTTAGGGAAACATGTCAACATTAGTGTGCAAGTTATACGTAAACCTGGAAATGGTTATCTAAATTTAGACATGGAAGCAACATGAAGGGATTAGCAGACCTTTGTAGTGACCAGGCTGATACTTCCATTCAGAAGTTCCGGGGCCATCCATGGAAGTGTTCCCCTTACACCACCAGAGATGAGAGTCTGACACTTCACTTTTGAAAGCCCATGATCACGAACCTGCATCATCCAAGAACAATCAATTCAAATATACAGAAAGAGAAGTGGTGTGTAAGAAATGACAACATATCCAAAATAAGTGACAAAGGTACATAATTTTAAAGTAAAGGGTTACACAGAAATGGTCGCCATCATTGGCCATCAACAATATTATCAAGATCATGCATCCTCCAAACACTAATTTGGATCATATTGCATAAGGCATGAGCAGAGACCATAAGAAACTAAAAAGAACAAAGACAAATTGGTACCACGCAACTAATAAAAGGTTCAGTTTTGTATATAGAGATGGTTCGCTTGCAGGCAATCAATTGAACTCACGTGTCCAAACAACACATCCTGATGTATGGTTGTTCAGGGCGGCCTGAGTTGCCCGGCCTACTCATCCAATATTTGCGAAGCTAGGAATATTTGTGTAGTTTAGTTAGTACCTTCTTTTTTAGACACAATGCTTGTGGCAGCAACAGTAAGCATCGAGGTCATCGCATGGCTCCACCCCCTGTCCCAGAACTTGCTATACTGGACATCGATTGCTGCAGGAGTAATCCTAGCACAAGTCAAGTCAGAAATCATCACATATATGTATCACTTTCATGTAGATGAAAACTTTAAAAATATATAGAAAAGGATATTACCAACACCTTGGGGTTACTTATGTTAGACTCACCATTGAAAATAAACTTTTGTTAGAACTAACAGGCGGATACTCCCCATCATCCTTTATTTTAAACCTTATAACACCATCATCAGCCTACACATGCCATCTGTGAACCCCGAGCAATTGCCTTGTAGCAACACACTGTGCACAAGGACACCTAAAATAAGAAAATCTACAGACTTGCAGGCAACCTACGAACACTGAATTGACTGCTAGACCAGACTACATTTCTTCAAGTTGACCTTTGGCTTACCAAAATAATATTACACCAATTCTCTTGACACTCTTAGTCCCAAAATGAGCCAACCAACTACTTCTAACCCTGCTGTCATTGACCACAATTCATGTACACAATAAGAAAATGAATATGGCCGTGTCTCATTTTGTAATTCATTGATGAAGGATTATTTTCTGGGGCAAGAGTATATACTAAAAGTGTAAGATCCTTTCCTTCTGGAAAATCTCTATGCTTAATACTTGTTTCAATATTTTGCTGACAAATAGATCTATACAGCTCCCTGCAGGGGAGGGAAACACAGATAGTGAACAAACAAACTAATTCAGCCGAAAGGAATCAGATATTTCGTGCGAATTGCGAGCTAGTAGTACTTGCACTGTCGAAACAGATCGAGCAAGGGACTTTCATGTCCTAGTTGACCAGAGGATCATCATTGAACCACGGTGCCCCGGACTGCAAGTTGGTGCTCCTCTGTGTGGGCATGGCGAGCATGGCAGTGTGATCCAAGAAATCCTTGAGCTCCACCACCGCCAGCAGTATCCTCGTAAGGTCGTCAACGCGCACGAAGCTGGCGGCGCCCAGCCGATGCATGTCGTAGATGTAGTTTGTGAGGCACCCCTTCCTATGACAGATGATTTATTCCTCTAAATTCTGGACAAAGAAAATATGCATAATATAAGCACATCTATATATTTGTTAGAAATTAACCTAATCAGACCAAAGAGTGGAGGAAGCTAAAACTGCAATCTAAACAAATATACCATGTGCAACAGTAAAAGGTAATTTGCATCATCTTAACACCAGTAGCACTTGACAGGAAGATAATTCTCAAGGTATTTCTCACCAACCAATCACAACTACCGTATTTGCAACAATTAAAAACCTCAGAAAACATGATAAATACCGTTTAGAACACAGAGAAAAACAAAGCTTATTTTTTCATGTTACATAGGCAATGTTAAACACCCTGATCAGCAAAGGATGACTAAACATCTCACAAAAAATGCTATGATGCATCAACACCAATTATTATACTACAAGATATAATTAATGGTCAAAGAAAGCATCTTTTTATTTTAATGAAAAACACTAAAAACAAAATGTAGCAAGATAAGAGCATTTTCTTGATATATCCTAGTCATTATTTCTTTCCAAAGCTAGGAATATGTCTGTCGTTTAGTTAGTACCTCTCTTTTAGATACATGTGGTCGTGGTCGCTGCAGAAGGCGCCGAGGATGTGGCAACCTCCTCTTCAGTCTCTACAGCCGACACCCTGTAAAGCATCCGACTGAGAGGAATGAACTGGTCAATGGGCACATTTTCATTCGAGATGCCCAGCTCATGGAGGAGCTTCCTCTGAGCAGCATTTCTGACACCTAAAGAATGACAAGTTGATAATCGTAAGCGAAACACAAAACTGAAAATCAT